TGCTTTTATTCTCCTGTGTGCTCTTTTCTCCCTCCCGAGGCAAGCGTTTGCGGCCCACTGCTTTAAACAATGAATAATACTCTATATACTCATATGTAAAGGGATATGTGCAGCGCGCTGGTTCAATTATTGGGAAAAGGAACACGGACAGGCTGATCAGGGAGGCCGACGCGAAGCGGGAGGGATCTAGATCGGCATGGAAGTGGTTTTCGGGACCCCCAGACCACCCCCAATAGCAAAAATGGCACTTTCAGAGTGGCCTTTTATTGTGCTAGCCTAAGGCACACCCTGCTGCAATTAATCATGCTGTCTAATCAGCATGTTGATATGCCACACCTGTGAGGTGAGTATGGATTTATCTCGGCAAAGGAGGACAGTGCTCACTATAACAGATTTTTTCAGATTTGTGAACAATATTTGAGAGAAATGTTATTTTGGTATATAGAAAATGTTTTAGATCTTTGGTTCATCTCATGCAAAATGGGAGCAAGACAAAAGCTGTTGCATTTATATTTTTGTTCAGTGTAGGTATGGCCCTACCAATATATTGTTCAATATAGCTATGATATGGGCCGGGCCAAACCAGGCCCGCTTTTTTTTGCTTTTCCACTAGGGGTAGTTCCGGCTCAGGGCTACTTTTTCACCTTTTTTCTGGCCCTCCAAAATCGAGGTTCTTACCGGGCCAACAACCGGGCTGAATATGCTAAACTAGTGAGGTAAACACTCTCGACTGCTGAATGGTCAGAGAGAATCGCTGGTAAGGGGGCTAAAACTACAAAAACATGAACATATTTTACAGTGATTTAATGTAATACACGTATCAACATGATGCCGAAGTAACAACATATTGATACCGGTCTGCAGACAAGACGGCTGTGGATTGTACTTGTTTAACTTTTGTCTAGTTTCTGAACAGATATGAGGAGCTGTGTGCTCTGAGTGCTAACAGCTAACGGCTGATGTTTTGGTTTTGTGGTTCGCATTGAAGATGACGGCAGTTTTACGCAGTGTCGCTCCGCCAGCCGAACAGCCGATCGCCCCGCCTACACTGCATTTCTATAGTTACTACCCCGGTTCCTAAACTGTAATGGAAACGCAGCATAAAGTGAGCCTGGCCTACCAAGGCCTAACCATACCGTACTAAGCCGTGCTAGGTCCTGCAGAGGAAAAGCGCCATAAGTACATTAACTCCGGTACTGTAACTTGGAGATACTTGTACTTTACTTGAGTATTTCCTTGTTATGCTACTTTGTACTTCTACCCCACTACAATTCCGAGGTAACTTGTGTTCCTACATTCCACAAAATGTATTTAATACCTTTAGTTACTAGATCTGGATGAATGATGTAAAATATAATCAAGTGTTGAATCAGACTTTAGTTCCACCTGGAGTAAATTCACAAGCTACCCTGCAGTATACAAAGTCATTCAAACTAGCTGCACCTTTACCAGCTTTGATAACCTTTACTTGTAGTATTCCTAAACTCTGCTACTCTGAGCACTTTCTCCACTTCTGATTAAATGTATGTAAGACAACATATCTGTTGATGACTTGTTACTGTAACAGAAATACTTTCTTTAAAAACAACAGATGCTTTTCTTGATGCGGCTCGGCACTTCCATAATAAGGAGAAGAAAGAAAGAGGAGAAGTAGGTTTCGAGGACACACAAAGATGAATGAAGAACTCACACAATAAGCAGACCTGATCTGGCCCGATGTCACATTGAGGATAGCACTGCTCAGTAACACATGCTCGTCATCAAACAGAAATAGAATTTTAATCGGAAATTTCTGCTGTTTTTTCCGTTCCTGCTTTTGTGTGGGACTGCGAGAGTCTTCTTAACACCTCTGATGGATTAAAAGTATGTGTATTGGTGTGGATCCCAAGATGATCCCAGCCTCTCTAAATGCTAATGATGTGTGTAGGTGAGTGATCTAGAGAGCCCTGCTTTAGACCAGCAGGGAAGCACGAGGACTATAATTGACCTACAGCTATTAGGCCTTTCTCATTCACTGCAAAATAATCACAAGGACCAAGCAAGAGGTTGAATTTTTGTTTCCTATTTAGCAGATGTATAACCTGAGTAGACCTTACCTAAGCACCTCACAATATGCGTAATTTTTTACATTTTATTGGCACCCTCAGCTTGATTTGAACATAGAAAAGAATGGTTGGATTGGGTTTTATTTTGCAGTTCTCCATCAGTCCTATCTGTAATCACAACATTGTTCTTTGTAGATTGTAAATCTCTTATATTCACATAACTAAAAATATTGTGATGGGTTGTTAACTAATCTCCAGTTTAGACAAACTCATTTTAAGCGGAAACAAAGTAGAGCTGTAAAGTAATATACCTAACTTATTGTTATTCAGATCAACCAGGTGTAATATCCGTTTGTAAATGCTGTTGTTGAGGAGGGACAAAAGCTAGACTGAATTAGTTTTTCTGTATCTCTGTATTTGTTTCTTCCTGAAAATGTGCCACCAATAATCTTGGAGGTCTACTTTGGACTACATGGAAACACAAATGTTCTTAAATGTAATGTAATAAAAGTTGATTCAGATGCTGAATAAAAAAAGCCAATTAGTATCAACTTGAATCCTTTACAGGTGATGTTATATGAGATAGTGATAGCTTGAAGAGAGACAAGAGCCTTTCCTTGTATGCTCTAACGGATCAAATGATTGGTTTCAATCAACTTATTTTAACGATTACAATGATTAATCATCATGTTTTACATAAGGCGAGATTCAAAATATCTAGAATCCTACAATAGAGGATTATAGCGTACCTGTCAGTGAGTGCTGTAGTGTAATTTCCCTTTAAATAAAATGATAAATTGGAATGCAGTATGAAATGACCCCTCTGACGTGCTGTTTGTCTCTGGGTCCTGCTGAGGCTGTCCTATTGTGGACGTCTCTCCAGATACCTTTTCCTGGATCCGTCAATGATGCTGAAAAAGCTCAATGGTCACATCCTTTTCTCTTCTTCTCAGCAAGACATCTGTTCCTTCTCAGAGAACAGAGGTCTGTTCCGCTCCACTGCTGGTTCTGCTTTGATGCCGAGGACAGCACAAAAAACATATGATCCCCAAAACTCTCACAAATTGGTAGTAGGGAATTTGATGGAAAAAGCCTTTTCCCTGGTTTTGTGGGATACTCAGCTTCTCATCCCACAAATGCATGTTCCTCACAAATGTGGCACCATTTAAAAGGGAAATAAACAGGCTTGCCAACGGTATAAGATATATTGCCAATAATCATTACAACAAAGAAGTAATCTACCAAACGCACATTTTCTTACTTTTTGTCATAAGTTTATAATAATTTACCCGATGTCTTCTTCTTATCTTTCGTTTGGTAATATCAAAACCCCATGAACATGCAAGAGTTATGGAAGCATCAAACCAAAATACCAAACCTTATTTAAAACATGGATCCAGACAGGTCAATAGTTTAGAGTATACAAGATCTATTTATTACTGTCACTCTAACCCAATTTTGACCTATACAGTGCTCTTTATTGACAGCAAGAGAACAAGACTGAGGCAAAGCAGAGCAGGATGATCAGGTTCAGATCCCGAACGCAACACTACGACC